TACTCTGGTGGAAGCTAGAAAAATGTCAAAAGTACACTTCTGGTGCCATCTAGTGTCTAATTAGGACTTAGCACTTCTAACAATGGGAAAGTACCCACATTAAGCAGAGCAGTAAGTACAAGTAGGGATGAGACAAGAATTCTTGAAACCTCAAAGAGGGGTGGGGAGATGAAACTGGAGAAGGAAGCAAGGAAGGGATCCTTAAGGAGGCCTTTATCTCACAGGTAGAAAAGGATTGGGGCAGCTAAATGACATGGTGAGGAGTGTGTTTTAGAATAATTGAGAAGGTAAAACATTTCCATGGATGGTAACATTAGATCAGATGCCTATAGGGGGTCAGTATTTCATGTCTCTAGTGCCTGAATTCTTGGGTCAGTCCAGGGGAATGGTAGCCCCACGAAAATGAGAGCAGAGATTCCTTGCTGTTTTGTTAATGTCTGTGTCCTCTCTGCCTAGGACAGAGCCTGGTAATATAGTTTTTTTTTAATGCAAGGAGTTATGTTTCCATATATAAAATTAAATGAAGGCTGCAGTTTTGCCTAGAGGTAGAGTGTTCATCTATTATGCATGAGGCATTAGGTTCAAGCCTCACCATCACATAAAAATAAAATAAATGTATTGTGTCCACCTATAACTAAAAAAGAAATGTTGAAAAGAAAATAAAATACTAAATGATAATACTGTCAAAATAGATCCCCTGCCCCACCCATTGCAAACTGCCTTTTAGAGAATCATGAACCTGGAGCTTGGCCTTACACCAGCCTGAGAGGCAGACATCACTTTATGTCCTACTTTACAGACGTAGGGAGTTTTCCAAAGTAGCACCTGGAAAGAGTCAAGGCCTCTTCCCTAATCAATGCTTTTTTTACATTGCCCAGGTGCTAGGAAACCTCTGCCTGTGAGTGAGTGAGTGAAGGGGACTGTGCGATCCAGATCAGGCTCCAACAAGTGTCGGCTGCATCACAGGCTTACCCTCTCTGGACTTCAGGGACTCAATATGTAAACAGCAGGCACCAAGAAAATTCTCTGTGGACACACCAGAAAAACTTATTGTTCCCCACAAAGTGTCTCAGGAGATATCCTGAGAACCCCTTCCAGAAACCCCATGGGACGCAACCAACCTGAAAATATAGAAAGTACACAGCATCCCATGAGAGGGAGGAAGATAGAAAGGCTGTGCCATGGCATCTTCAGCCTCCCTCCATTGCCTCAGTGGGTAAGAGGGGAAACTGAGGCCCCCAATGAAGCAGACCCTGATGTCATATTACTATCTCAGAGCCCAAAGACCCTGCTTCCCCTTTGGGTCCACAGTGACTCCTGACAGAATTACTGGATGCCTCTTCTGACTCCCTTTGCCTCCTGTGGATGCACCCACCATGCCCTCTGCTCCTGCACCACTGTGCCTCCTGGTTCCTAGGCTGTGCTCTCCTAAGTGGTCCTGGGTGGGGTGCTGCCTCCCACGTGCTTCCCCTGTCTTCTCCCCGCCCACTGTTCTTACAAGCTGGGCTCCACTCACTCAGCCTGACTCTGCCTCACCAGCTCTGCCCACTAGGTCCTCTCCATTTCTTTTCATAGACTTCACCCAGCATCCGGCCTCTTACCTGCACTGTTCTGCAGAGCCATGCCCACTCCACCCATTTGATCCTCTGCATTCTGTCCACGTAACTCATCCTCCAATGACATATTTAACACTCTGGGATTGCAGGTTTTTCCCTCTAGCCCTGGAACCTTTGCAGTCTGGCTTGGCCCAATTCCACCAACATCCACTAACATACCAAATGGCTCTGCTCTTCTTCATTAGCCATGGTTTTCCATCAAGTTCACTCCTACACCAGCCTCCCTGTCACCTGGCCTCTCCATAGCTCCTTGAAAACTCCATCTGAAATGAATGAAAAAAGATCTTGCAGAGATGCCCACGGTTGTGACACCACTGAGTCTAAGGGACAATTACCTTTGGGCTCTGGTCACGTTTGAACCCCACATCTTCAATGGTTCACCTTGAACCACTCTGCTCACCACAGAGTATCTCCATTTACAAAATTCCAGCTGATGATAATACTTTATTTGCATAAATGTGAGCATGTTTTCAGCACTGTCTTTGTATTATGAATGCAGAAGAGGCACTGTCAAGTAACTAGCAATGTCCCTGCCCTATTTGTGAAAGATCCCAGCCAGATTAAAAAAGCATGTTTTCAAAGGACATGGCCTTCTTTTTTTAACGCTCTGTGGCCTTCAGCACCTTCTCTTACCCTTTCAACACAGGATGGGCCCAGCTACTTGGCAAACAAGAGTCATCTGTGATCTCTTCTGCAGACAGCCTGGGGCATCTCAGAATGAGGGAGCAAAAGTGTCTGTTCATGGCCATTTTTCTAAAGGTTAAGTCTCAGAAGATAAGCCTCTTTATGATGACTTATGTATAACTATTGTTTTTTTCTGACATCCTGACTCAATGCTGTCGAGATAGAGCAGCAGTTGGGGACTTGGGTTTCAAGCTGCAGAAATTGAACTGGGTGCTTTTTAAAAAAAATGCTCTAGATGACACTGGGGAACCTGATGGCAAAATTCAATAAAACCAGGAGCTGGGTTTTGCCAGGTGATCTCAGTACCCCAAACCCCTTTATAGTCTTTCCTGAGCCTGCTGCTATATGAGCACACTGGAAGCCTTTCTGCTGTTTCTTTGTTGCTGCTCAGATTCTTAGTCTTCAGAGAAGGATTCTGATTGGCTGGTTATAGGTATTGGCTGAGAGTATAAATTCTTCACATTAAAGTAGGTATTGAAGGATGAGTTGAAGTATGCTAAAGAACAAATGGAAGGACATAATAGGTAGGAACACC